ATGCGTCCGCCACACCCAGTACGGCGTTTCGTGGCCCCATAGGGAGCTCCACCGAAGGCCCCAGTGGGGGTGGCCACATGCGTCCGCCACACCCAGTACAGCGTTCGTGGCCCCCGAGGGAGCTCCACCGAAGGCTCCAGTGGGGGTGGCCACATGCGTTTGCCACACCCAGTACAGCGTTTCGTGGTCCCATAAGGCACTCCACAGAAAGAACCCAATGGCACCGCCCGCATGCGTCGTCCACCACCCAATATTGCATTTCGCGGCCCCATTGATTGGGAGCTCCGGCAAGCCCCAACGGCGCCGCCCGCATGCGTCCCCCCCACCCGGTACAGCGTTTCGTGGCCCCGAAGGGAGCTGCAGTGGCCCGCCCTCATGCAACCCCCCACCCAGTGCAGCGCTTTGTGCGCCCATGGGGAGCTCCTCCGAAGGGCCCCAGTGGCACCGCCCGCATGCGTCTGCGTCCCCCCCCCCTCCCGTGGCCCCATAGGGAGCTCCACCGAAGGTTTCAATGGCACCGCCCGCATGCGTCGGCCACCACCAAATGCAGCGTTTCGTGGCCCCGTAGGGAGCTCCACAGAAAGACCCCAGCGGCACCGCCCGCATGCGTTTCTCCCAACCAATACAACATTTCGTGGCCTCATCGGGAGCTCCAGCGAGGGGCACCGCCCGCATGCGTCAGCCACACCCATGACAGCGTTTCGTGGCCCATCGGGAGCCCCACCGAAGGCCCCAGTGGCACCGCCCGCATGCGTCTCCCCCACCCATTACGGCACGTCCCTCACGCGTTTCGTGGCCCCATAGGGACTTCCACCGAAAGCGGCACCCACAACGCGTTACTCACAATTGGATATGGTTGGGTCCTTCGCCAAGATAATTTGACGATCGATGTTCATGCTGCTCGGGCAGCCTGACGTTCTCGCACGGCTTGCGCCTTCCGCCGCCAGCAGCATCTTCGATGCTTTCGGGTCTAAGGGTATGAGGTTGCACACGGTCGAGGGTAAAACCACTGCTTTGTTCCAGCTCACAGGCAAGGGCTCCGGCATCGCTAGGAGGCAGCTCTGGATTGCATGGTCTGGTTCTATTAAGTTCGCTGCGCAGCTCTACGGTCCGCTTGAGATACGCGCAGTGCGACAATACACACACACACACCTGGTTGGGTTCAGTACTATATGAGGCGGGCTCACTGGGTCCAGAGCTCGCTCATTGACGCCAGGCTACGGTGAACGAGTGGGAAAAGCTTCGCAGTATTGTTCGGGATGTGAGCATCTGGAGCGCAATATCACCCTCATCCTTGTCGATTCACTCATGTGCTCTACTCGCCTGTGTCAAGCGGGGACGTGGGCGACACTCACGCTTCCCAATCGGCGCAGCTCTCTGACGACATTGTCCGAATGTGCAGAGCTGTGGTGCAGTGCACGCGCATCGACCAGACAGCTCTGATTTCGGTACAGATCTTGGCCATGGTCAGGAGACCAAGCTTGCACGCCACGTTACGCATTCGTCGCCTTAGGCTTTTTGGCAGATTACTGCACCACGGCCCTATGCACCTACTCGCTCTTGTGTGAGTTATTGTGCTGCTCGATGCGAAGTCTCACGGATTCAGCAGTTGCTTGATGATTTAGACTGGCTTTGTCAGCACGTTCCGAAGTTGTAGACCTATCCCCAGGCTCGAGAGGATCTCCATCCTGGGAGCCTATATTTTGGGCTCCGCAGTTCGGTGGAAGGCTACCCTCAAGTGCGCCCAACAGGCTCATGCCGCTCGCCTTACTAGCAACACCTTGGCTGCAGTGGCTGAAATCGAGGCCTTCCAGGTGCTGTGTGATGCAGAGCTCCCCAAGCCGACTTAGGATCCTGAGCGCCCCCTATGAGCACGGGATCAAGATGTCATTCCGTCCTTCAGGTGTATGTGGGGCCCGCAGAGTTTCCCCACGGCCAAGGGAGTTAAGCAACACACAGCGCGAGAACATGGGTCTTTCGTGCATAGAGTTCGTACCTATATCGAAGATACTCATAAGTGTGGAGGTTGCTTGACCACGTTTGCCGCGCGGAAGCCGCTGGTGAAACATCTTGATTTGTTCTTCGCCCTGGTGCGCAGTGGCCATGCTAAGCGCTCCGTCGGGATGCTCTGGCAGCCTCAACGCGCAGCAGGCATTCGAAGGTGGCGCCCGAGGTCCCAGCTCTGCAACTCCAGGTTCGAGCCAGGGCCCAGGCAGTACAGGATCATTCTGCTCGTGATGTGGTCTCTCGGCTGACCGATTATGAGGCCCGCGAGGTTTCAGTTCGCTCTGACATGTTTTCTTTTTCCGAGGAGGCGGCTGCTAGATCTTGGCGTTGTCCGGGGTTGTGGTCCCTGTGCCCGCCGACGCCGAGCCTGACGACAGGTTCTGGCTGTATAGGCCTCAGGATTTTCAAAGAGTGTCGGCCGACCCCTTCCCCTACAACATCTGGCGCCCGCATTTCTCTGTGCTTAACTTGTGTTGTGGGAAGCGCAGGGGTTTGGGGATGTACAGTGGTATCTGTCGTCGGCCCAACCCATGCCACTTTGTGAAATATTATGTTTGTTTCTCGACACCGCGATCGATGCGATCAAGGGGGATCTCACTGCAGCCTCGATCTCACTGCAACCTCCCCTATCAAAGTTTTGGATTTGTCATACCAGAGATAGGCGCGTCCTCAACTCAGGGAGGGGGGGAGGGCCTGCGAGACGTGGAGTGCTGCGCGACTTTTTGGGGGTCCCAGGCTGCGTTTCAAGGGATCAAGAGTAATTTCGCATCGGGGGGCAACTGTTGCAAATTCTTGTCATGATGTTATATAAGCACTTGCGCGCTGGGACCAGAGCGTGGATGGAGCACCCCATCCTAGCCACCTGGGCCCCCTCAGCCCCCACCTCATGGAGGTGGCCTCCGCTTGTTGCTTGAGTGTCGTCCCCGTGGCCGCAGCCACGAACTTTGAGCAGTTCGAGCACCAGCCAAAGACAACAGACACGCCCTGTATCGGCCTGGTTCCTCCGCGCATGATAGGTACCATAATGCCCAAGCCCTCAAAGGCCCTGAGGAAGACCTCCCTGGAGAGGCAAATGCTCTTACGAGAAAAATGTGTATCGTACTCTACTGGGCCGCAGATGCGACGGCTAATGGCACACTCAATGCAAGACGACCTATCCCAGCCACCTGTGCCAGGCCATAGCAGACTCCATTTTGGGCAGCGCTTGCAGATAGTAGCGCCAGCAGAGGAAACATATTTTGGTGTTCGAATTCGACAAGGCTGGCATGTGCCGTGGACCCCAACATGTGACGAGAATTTTGCCCTTGCCCCCGGCTTCACGGGAACCCCCAAGCGAGCTAGCCAACGGGTCGACCCAGAACTGCACCGCTTCTTTCCAGTCTCTAGAGGAAGGAGATACCAAGTTTTCTCATCCCGAGGCCACTGAGCCCGAGGACTCCGATTTGTTCGCGTCCCCCTCCAGCCAGTCCCGTGGGGCCGAACTGTGGGCTTTGGAGGTCTCTCCTCTCGTTCCCTCTCCCTCCTCCTCCTCCTCCTCCTCCTCCTCCTCCTCCTCCTCCTCCTCCTACTCCTCCCCCCTTATAAGACGAAGCCGGGACGAGGATAACATCGGGTGAGGATAAATCGGCAATCTCTGAGATCTGCCGGCTCTGGAAAATGTATCGGGCGACACGGCCTTCTCAGAGCGATCCGGAACCCTCTGAGAGCGTTCCGGAACGCTCTGGAACGGATTTACCCTCGTCCCAGCTCAGTCCGATGTCGACCCGCTGGGGTTGGCAAGCAGGATCTTACCCGTTTTGGCTCCCGGCTGTGGGTTTTCGGCGGCGTGAATGGCAAGCCCTCTCGACTCCTAGCGCCACCCGCACTCTCGCACGAAGTACAGCGGAGCTCAGTACAGTGCTCATGCTTCGGCACGACGGCGACGGTCGGATCGTCGGTCCGTCTTCCCCCTCGGCCGTCCGCTGTCGCTCCCCGCTCCTCGCCTCTCTCTCTCTCTGTGCTTGGCCCTCCTTCCCCTTGTCTTGCTGGCCCATGGTCGTCCCAATTTTGGCCAGCTTTGGCCTTCCGTCGCGCGGGTCTCTTGCCCGCCGCTTCGGCTCTCCGTGAGAGAGAGAGAGAGTGAGAGAGAGTGAGAGAGAGACAGAGAAAGAGCGAGAAAGAAGAGAGAGAGAGAGAACACGACAGTGTGTGAGTATTTGTGCTGATTCCCATGTTTGCGGAGCCCTGTGAGTGTGGAGCCCTATGTGCAAACCTTCTGTGAGTGTGTGTGTGTGTGCAGCCAATGCATGCGGGGTCCACGCCGCAGGGCCCCAGGCAGCCACCAGAAAAATTCCAATCCTCGGGGCCAGTGGGGCGGGAAGCCCTAGGGGTCCAATCCGCAGGATCCACGGGAAAAAGGGCGACCCGCAGGGCCAGTGAGGCGGGAACCCATATGGGGTCCAAGCCATAGGAGTCCAAACAGACACCAGAAGAAATGATCACCCAACACCACTATATTCCAAGCAGCCACGGGGAAAATGTCCACAGGGCGGGAAGCCATAGGTGCCTACCATAGGAGTCCGAGTAAGCGCGTCCCCCATGGCCAGTGAGGCGGGAAACCATAACAGTCCGAGCCATAAGGGTCCAAGCAGCCACCACAAAAAAACGGCCAGCCACAAGGCAACCATCGTACAACCCAAGTAGTCCCCCCTAAGCGCAAACACATCTTGGGTGTGAGAGAAAGAAGTCTGCGTCCACATACAAACTTGATTTGACGGTATTAGGCCGCTGGCGGCGGCGCACGGTATCAAGCCACTGGCGGCGGCTGCACCTACACCGAATCAGGCAAAAGCGCGAGGCCACATGACGGTGATTACACGAAGTGTACACACATACCTCTCTCTAGCAGGCAGATGTGCACTTCCTGGAGCGCTGCACTATGCTGGCTGACTGCTAGAACTCCCCCTCTAACAATCCTACCCCCTACTCCGTTCTGGGGCAAATGCGCTCTGTGCCTACACCTTGCTCTTGGAGTGTTTGTCCTGTAGCGTTGTCTTCTTGGTCACCTTCAGCTCACAGTGGAAGACGACCGTCAGGCCCAGGACGATCCCCACGATACCGAAGTCCTTGAGGCGGGGCATACCGATGTGGAACTGATGGGCCCACGGAGCTCCCATCACGCCCACGATGGCCATGCAGATGACGGTGACAGCTGCTGGGTGCAGGCCCATGTACACAGAGACCACAGCGGGGTCAGTGTGCTGGTTTGCCCAATTCAGCAACGGCCAAGCCACGAGTGTGCAGATTACCACCTCGTAAAACAACGGGAAATAAACTGTTGTTGGCAACCACATGCCCTGATTCATACATCTGTCTATCAGGAACTGTGTGTCGTCGTGGCAGAGCACCTGATGCAGTGGCCTGAATGTGAACATCAATATGGCGGTGACAGCAAGCAATGCGAGGCTGGTGCATATTGACCACGTGAGTGTCTGCACAGGGGTGTACCTGTTGCCGAACCTGTTCATGATGATGAAATACCCGGCGGTGCCTGCAATGTTGCCGAAGAACATGAGGTGGCTGACCGCACGGACCAACAACCCCTGGTCCGAGGTAACCGCCTTGCTCGGCCGGCTGTCGAACACCACCATGAAAGCAGCGCCGAGGGTAGAGATGAGGATTCCGATCGCCTTCATCCCCTCCAGCTTGGTCTGACCGAGAATCACCGCTAGCAGCGCTGTCAAAATTGGCAAAAACGTCTGCCACGCGGAGCCTGTCACGGGGTCAGCCAACTTCAGGGCCACGAACCAGAATATCTGGTTGAAAAAAAACGCCACGCCAGCCAGAAGCAGCTGTGGGATGTCTTCCCGCGCAGGCAATGGCTTGACCCCGAAGATGTACAGGCCTACTGCAAGGGCGATCACCGACAACATCTCCCGAATCAGCTCGAAGATGATGGCGCTGGTGTCGTGGACTCCAAACTTGCCGATGATGGCGCCCCCAGCGAACAGGCAGTAGCCGGCCACGAGCGCAGCGTGGACTTTGTAGACAGATGGCTTCTTATGCTGGTTCTCGGCCGTCCCGCACGTCCCGTACTCCATGTTCTCTGCGGCAGAAGGAGGGGCTGGCGAGCTGCAGGGTGTACGCAGGGTTCGGTACCTGGCATGCGAAGCGATATGGACTTGACTGAGCCACAACTGCGGTAGTTGCGGAGGGGAAGGACACGACACCGAGGGGGAGGTCAAGGCGAGGTGGAGGGGGAGGCACTGGACGAGGTGGAGGAGGAGAAGGACGAAGCGGGGAGGTGGAGGCAGGACGGATCTGGCCGCATCCAGCCTTCGCATCAACAAGGAATCACAAGTGTGTGTGTGTGTGTGTGTGTCGCGCCCGATTCTACGTCCATCACTTGCGGGATGGTGCTTGCACCCTCACGCCCCGCGCGCCCTTGAACTGCTGCTGTTTGTTAATTTCGGCTACACGCAAGAGTGACCCTGGATAAGAGTGACCTTTGGTGCGCGGCTTTTTCCCGGAAAGTGCGTCGGCCCAGGGTTCTCTTTTAGTATGTAAACATAGTCCCCCGTGCCCAACTTGAAGGAGGCCGGCGAAACTTTTCCCTGATAAATATCGAGGTCGAAGGAGGCCGGCGAAATTATGTTTGAGGATGTCTCGAGCGAAACGCTTGTTTTTGAAATCCCGATCGATAAATCACAGGGTGCGGGCCACCTCAGCACGACCACATCCCAGCACGACCACGCCCCAGCACGACAGCACGACCACCCCAGCACGACCACACCCCAGCACGACCACACCCCAGCACGACCACACCCCAGCACGACCACACCCCAGCACGACCACACCCCAGCACGACCCGATCGATAAATCACAGGGTGCGGACCACCCCAGCACGACCACACCCCAGCACGACCCCACCCCAGCACGACCCCACCCCAGCACGACCACGCCCCAGCACGACCACACCCCAGCACGACCACACCCCAGCACGACCACACCCCAGCACGACCCCACCCCAGCACGACCCCACCCTAGCACGACCACACCCCAGCACGACCACACCCCAGAACGACCACACCCCAGCACGACCCCACCCAAGCACGACCCCACCCCAGCACGACCACACCCCAGCACGACCACACCCCAGCAGGACCCCACCCCAGCACGACCCCACCCCAGCAAGACCACACCCCAGCACGACCACACCCCAGCACGACCACACCCCAGCACGACCACACCACCAGCACGACCACACCCCAGCACGACCCACGATAAATCACACGACCACCCCAGCACGACCACCCCCAGCACGCACGACCCCACCCCAGCACGACCACCCCCAGCACGACCACACCCCAGCACGACCACTCCCCAGCACGACCACACCGCCTTGGTTGAGTGGTTGCCTGTCGTCGTGGAATGTTTCGTGGGGTGTCTCGTGGAATGTTTCGCGGGGTGTCTCGTGGAATGTTTCGTGAGGTGTCTCGTGGAATGTTTCGTGAGGTGTCTCGTGGGATGTTTCGTGAAGTGTCTCGTGGGATGTTTCGTGAGGTGTTGCCCAGTTGGGTATCGTGAAAACGTGTCCATGCTCCACATGTCTATATCCCTTTCCGGGTTCGTGGGTCCATCATGTTGGGGGCCGCGGGGGGACCCAACCTGGGCGCCCAAGCCGCTGCTCCTGCTTCGTTTTCAGCCACCTGGGGACCCACCTGTGCCCGCACCAGAGGTCACTCCGGCGAAAGGTCACTCCTACGTCTAGTCGATAATTATACTGGAGGAGGAGGAGGAGGAGGAGGCGGAGGCGGAGGCGGAGGAGGAGGAGGAGCAGAAGGAGGAGGAGGAAGAGGAGGAGGAGGAGGAGGAGGAGGAGGAGCAGGAGGAGGAGGAGGAGGAGGAGGAGGAGGTGGAGCTGCCCGTGACCACCAGCACCTCACAGGCCACGACGGCTGGCCTCCTCTCTCGTCCCGGGGGCAGGCTCGAGGCGCCTCGAGGCGCGCGCGAGAGCAGCATGGTGTGAAGGGACTTTGCCCAGGCAAGCGCGCTCCACCACTCGCAAAGTCACCATTCGCAAATGGTCTCGATCGGCCGCGGAGGATTTACGATAGATTACGTCGATGGCAACGCGTGTTTTTGGGGACGTTTGCGAGTAGGCACTTTGCGAGTAGTGGAACGCGCCCGGTGATTGCCCCCGTCTTCGCGGCCCCACCAGTTGCCGGGAGTGACACAGACCGTGATATGTCTGGCTGCCCCTCGCTCCCCGACCGCTTTCCCAGGAGGCGGGGGCCCTCCCAGTTCCTCAGCGCACCTCGGGGGCCGTACTGCCCCAACTGGCTCCAATGTTACCCCAACGAGCTGACGACTGCTTCGAAGACTGCCCAAGATGGCCCAAGACCACCTTCGCGATAGCCCCGGTTGATCCAAAGTCGGCGCCACGATGGCCCTGAGATCTTCCTAAATCACGGTCCGTGAAACGCTTTGGGCTTTTCGTCGATTCTCGTGTTCTAGCCTTTTCTTTTTCAGATGGGCCGCAGAAGCCTTCAGATGGTCCCAAGGTGGCTGGAGCGGCCAGTCAAGGAATATCTGGGCTCCAGCTGCCCCCAAGAGGGCCCCAGGAGCGCCCCGAACGCCCCCGACAAGCAGGAGGCTCCTGCACAACTGCAAGGGGGCATGGGGCCCCAGGAGCGCGGGAGTAGGAGGAGCAAGACCGGGCTGAGGGATGTTTGCGGTTTCCCTTTTCCATAATACATTTTGCGCACCTGCTCGGGCAGTGCTTCCGTGTGTTCTGCACTTGGGATGGAGGTGATCTGCTCTGGCGAAGTGTCCGATGCTGCGCCGGATCATCTTGCTGAGCGGGGCATCCTGAACAACAACATGTGCATGGAGTCAGTTGGACTTCGATACCACTTCCGATTCAAGTATGATATTTTCGCTGTGGTGGACTTGACTGTCTGCATCTTTCATGGTCTGGCTTGATTGTGCCAACTTGGTCGGAACAGTGGCAGGGGCCAGGCCTCCGTCGGACATTGCCAGGAGGCGACCTTGGCCCGAGGTGTCGCCAGCTGCTCCCGCGCTGTCTCGTGGAGGAGGGGGGGGAGGGGGAGGAGGAGGAGGAGGAGGAGGAGGAGGAGGAGGAGGAGGAGGAGGAGGAGGAGGAGGAGGAGGAGGAGGTGAAGGAGGAGGAGGAGTGACCGTAGCTTGAGGCGCTCGAGTCTGTTCCTACCTCGGTTGCGCTTACTTCACGCTGGAGGCCTCTGCGCTGGCAGGAAGACGTCAGCGCCAGACTAGGGCTCGAGCAGCGCTGGGAGCTGAGGCAATTGCCTCGCTCGTCGGTGCGGTATTCTTCATTATATTGTAAAGATGTTAGGCGAGCGTCACGCGCTGGATCGATCGATGCAGCGAAAGGTTGCTGTCGAGATTGGGTGGATACGCTGCAGCGGGGTCCAAGGCCCAAGTCGTGTGTTTTGTAGAGGAGGCGAGTCAGGAGACCACAGGAGACTCCAGAGGACGGGGCAGGAGAGGTAGGGGGGAATGAATGGGCAGCGTGCGCGCAGCCGAATGCACAGGGCTTGAGGCCGAGCCCATGCATGGGTGGTCGTCCACCCGCCGCTGAGCGTCTTGACAGTGGCCCAGCGCCAGCTGGGGCGGACAGCTCCAAGCGCGTGTGGGAGGTCGGCCCATCTCTCGGAAAACTCTGCGGCCGAGGGCGGCTCAGGGACATTCCACGCGCGGAGGCGCTGGTGGAACGTGACCGTGAAGGGTGAACTGGAAACAGCCTGGCAAAGACTGTGAGCATGCACTCGCTGTGCCTTCGCTCGACGCGGCAGGCTCGCAGCGGAGAGTTCTTGAATATCCTGACGAGAAGCACGGTTCGCCGCGGCCATGGCTGCTGCAGAAAATGGGGCATGCCTGTGCCCGTGCGTGAGGGCGTGCGAGTATTGAGCAATCGAGCGCTGCTCGGTCCAGAACGACGCCGGCCAAGCACCCTCCGACCAACGCGCAAAAGTGTGGACCGTGCTTGGACAAGCCGAATGACGGGTGGCGGACGCCAGTCCGCCATTGAAAGCGAATCGACGCGGCGAAACGTTTTCGGCGGCAGGCTGAGCACCTCGTGAACGATGCAATGCTCGCGATGCACATTTAAAACGGGGCAACGTAGCTGAACGTGGACAGGGCTATATGAGCGAACCGTGGCGCCACTGCCACTCTGCACAAGATCAAAAAGGTTTCCTATTTGCCACCATTTCTGCCCTGGGGTGAGCCATTGAGAAGCGAGGGAGGCGGAGGGTCCAAGGATGGCCCCGAGGGACTTGGCGTCCCGCAGCCGAAACAGCGCCCCAGGAAGGACAGGACTCGGCCAGAAGGGAGCAGGTTTGGGCAATGGTGTCTGGGGCCGCCGCGGCCTAGAGAGGCATGACCACACACTCGCGAGGCTTAAGGGAGTGGGGCGCGAGTTCCTCTGCAGCGCGGAATGCTCGGCGTGTCGAGCCGGTGCGTGAGCAGGCCGACGTCGTCCGCGCAGCCGCCGACGCAGCCCTCGTCGTAGTCTGGCGCGCCGTCGGGGTGCTCCGCGAGCGAGGCGATGCGGCGAAGCAGCGGGTCCATCGCGATCGCCCACGCCGAACCGCTGGCAGGGCAGCCCCGCGCAACTCCCGACTCGATCGCGGACGTGAAGTGGCGCACCCCGTCTATCCTGACGCAGCTGTTCGGCGCGTGGTACATCGAGCGGAAGAGGTTCAGGCAGCCGATCAGCAGGCCGCACCACCGGAGAGCTGCTGGCGCGGCGCATCTCGGAATCGAGACGAACGATGCGCTTGGTGAAGTTGCGGCCGACGACGAAACGCTGCTGTGCGAGATCTGCGTGCGCTTGGCGATGACGTCCTTGAGCATGAAGTCGGCAGCGCCAACGATGGCTTGGATGTCCGTGATTTTGAACGAGAATGGGCGCGTGTCCTCAGGCACCCTGTAGGTCGTGAGCTCGCCAGTGAGGTGGCCCCCCTTCGGCAGAAACGCGAAATCCGAGTCGTTCAGGTCGCGGATAAAGTGCTGGCCCGAACACAAAAATACTGAAAGGTCTTCTAGAGATAATGAGAGGTCCTCTGGGCTATCCGGTGAGCCGTCGCACGCCGGCCAGGCCGCGCATGGCTGGCAGTCGGGGCCAGGCGCCGACGCCTGCGCGCGCTTGGGG